TCGCTGTAATAAATAAACTGTACAGTCCATGGTCAAGCTCTTCTTATGCCTTCATGGAAGTAGTCGCTGTAATAAATAAACTGTACAGTCCATGGTCAAGCTCCCATATGCCTTCATGGAAGTTTTCGCTGTAATAAATAAACTGTACAGTCCATGGTCGAGCTCTTCTTATGCCTTCATGGAAGTTTTCGCTGTAATAAATAAACTGTACAGTCCATTGTCAAGCTCTTCTTATGCCTTCATGGAAGTAGTCGCTGTAATAAATAAACTGTACAGTCCATGGTCGAGCTCTTCTTATGCCTTCATGGAAGTAGTCGCTGTAATAAATAAACTGTACAGTCCATGGTCAAGCTCTTCTTATGCCTTCATGGAAGTAGTCGCTGTAATAAATAAACTGTACAGTCCATGGTCAAGCTCCCATATGCCTTCATGGAAGTTTTCGCTGTAATAAATAAACTGTACAGTCCATGGTCGAGCTCTTCTTATGCCTTCATGGAAGTAGTCGCTGTAATAAATAAACTGTACAGTCCATGGTCAAGCTCTTCTTATGCCTTCATGGAAGTAGTCGCTGTAATAAATAAACTGTACACTCCATGGTCAAGCTCTTCTTATGCCTTCATGGAAGTAGTCGCTGTAATAAATAAACTGTACAGTCCATGGTCAAGCTCTACTTATGCCTTCATGGGAGTAGTCGCTGTAATAAATAAACTGTACAGTCCATGGTCAAGCTCTTCTTATGCCTTCATGGGAGTAGTCGCTGTAATAAATAAACTGTACACTCCATGGTCAAGCTCTTCTTATGCCTTCATGGGAGTAGTCGCTGTAATAAATACAGGGATGAGAATGGAGATTTTCCTTTTCAGCTGAATCTTTTTTGTAATGGAGCCATCAGATTTTAACAAATTTGTGGTTACTAAAATTTGTGGATCTGCTGAAGATTCGACCCCTGCAAACGTTCACAGCCTTTCTTGCATTTCATTTAACACAAACCTCTTGCTTTCCATCTTTATTTCTTTAAATAAAAGTGTCAAAACCGTTCCCATAATAAAAAATCCCTGATAAAAGCAGAGGCCATTGTACAAATCTGACAATATCATAAGCATGTTTTATTGAATCACTATCAAATAGTGATAATACCAGGTTTTCATGAAAAGGTGAGTGAATTTTTCCACACTGGTGGCACAACCATAAACACATGCAAAGGCATGTCAATTTTCTCCTGAATAAGACACGGGTGGCAATTGATGGACATATAAAACTGAGAGAGAGAAAAATGTTTTAAAAGATCATTGCATGTCTTTGATAGGCATTCTGGTGTCATGTCATTATATATTCACATATTTCCCTGCAGCCACAAACAATTTCCTAGTAGCAACATACAGTAAGCCATGTGGACTTCATAAAGTCCACCCATCAACATTTATTCCACAGGGTGTGATGGATGGCTGCATGTGTCCTATAACTCTGTCAGTAATATCCTGTGGCTGGAAGGAAATAACAGCTTTCCTTTGGATAACTTGCAATGAGTAATACAATCAACATATATTACATGGCTTGGCAAGCTGTGACTTATGGATATTAATAATACAAAAGTATAATCACTTGTATTCCATCTTTCTCTCAGTCAATACTTCCCACCTCCCCATGGGTTTCTCTTGGTAAAGGATCCATCAGAGCATGGTCAACAGTTTCATATAATTTTCACCGCTATTTTGCCCCTTCCACCAAATGGAATCTGTTTTGGTGGATAATCTAGACTGGTTCTTCTCCTGCACAGACAAGCTATATTTACACTACCACCACCACACAGCAGGAAGTGAGCTAGGCCAGCCAGCATTGTCTAAACCATCAGTGCCGGTCATTAGTTAACCTTTGGGTAGAGTTTCATCCAAAAACTTTCTTTTGGGAAGTCCAAAATTAAGCAAAGGTTTAAAGACATTCATGTTATTCTTCTTTTGTCGCAATATTAAACATGACATCACTCACAAGTTACTTCTTTGTTAACTTTGATTAACAATCAAGTTATGCAGAGTTAATTTAGATTAGCACTTCACAAGAGAAGTGAGGAATACTAACTCACACTATGGTCAGAATTCAAGCAGGATTCTTCCGCGATATATCTGCCTATTTTCTAAACTTCTCTGATTTTTCCTGACCTGATAACTATGCACTTCCCGATTGGAAGGAAGCCATGACTGAACATCAAACATAGCCCTACTACCATCTTTCGTTTAAATCAATCTTCTGCAATTTCCTCTTATTCTCAGTTGTCAAACAATGAACATTTCAGATTCAAAACTCATTACAAAGTTAGTTTTAACAAAAACAAACAAATTTTCTTAAGGGTAAAAAATCCTAACAAACTATCAGAGATTCTTGTTTTCAATTACAAATTTTGAACTTCACCATCTTGGAAGCAAATGGTATGAAAAGGTCCAAGTAAACAGGTGATTGTTTAAAGGGGAGTCAGGGCCATAACTCACTTACCTCCTGACAAACACATTTACGACTTCATTTTGCAAAGCTCTTGCAGAACAAATTGATGAAACTGATGGTTGCAAAAAAGGTAGGTAATTACAGAGGATGCTATTTGTGCAGCAATCACCTTGACAAGATGGGCTAGTGGAGCGGTAATGGTGTCTTGCATCGCTCTCAGTCCATTTCAGGAGAGAGTGAGAGCAAGAGAGAATCTAATTTATATGAACTGAAATCATACAGTAAGATAACAATTTTTTTTCAATCCATTTTGTGAATGAATAGGAACCTTCCAGGAATGTATTCATCCAGGAGACTCACTCTGGGCAGGGAGACATAATCTTTACTCTGACATTTTCATGTCTCCAAGTCACCATGTCCTCTGAGAGCAAGTCAAGGGGGCCTGACAAGGAGAGTGTTGGTGTAGAGCTCTTAACCAATAGTGTTGATCAAGTCTCCTTCTAATGCAGTGATGGAAAATTAGGTCAGTTCTGTTCAAGAGGACCTCTCCACAAACTGATCCCAGCGCTGACTGCCCGAGCAAACTGATGACCACATGTTGATTACCTTTAAAATTACCCGGTAGGTGGTAAAACTGTTTTGGTAATATCCATATATCCATATGGGCCTGCAAGTGACCCAAACTAACACAGGGGTGCCTATAAATATTGGCAGGATACAGTCTGATGTGCACTCTGCAGCAACTTGTTCCATATTCTTTATTTGAAACACATAATGCTAATAATGGCATGGTTTTTAAAGAACTCCAGCTACATCGTTTCCAATGCCTCCACACAGTCAGATTGGAGACAACCCTCCCCCCCCCCACCCCCCCCCGAGATGTTTAATCCTACCAGTTTATCAGCCCAGACTCAGGTCTTTGTATGTCAATGTGGATAATCCTATCTCAGTCAGCTCGCCAGCACAGCTCCAGCAGTTCACAGCAGCTCACTGCTACACCTTACAATTGTCCTAAGCTCATGGTAAAGTAACTTGAGTTTCTAGAACGGAAGAAGTCCTGAACACTTTTTGATCATACCAAAACATTTCTTTGATATCTCACAAAATAAAATTCATCTTAATCTTCTCTGAAACATTTCTGAAAATATATAACTGATGAAAATAACACCTTTCCAATGTCAACGCAGATATAATTTTGTTAAGAATCAGTGGGTGAATGAACACCTCTTCAAACAGTATATGTCAGTTATTTTTTTTATTTTTTTTATTTAACGCTGCACTCATCAATATTCTGGCTATATGATTGCGGTCAGTAAATAATCGAGTCTGGACAAGACAATCCAGTGACTGACATCATGAGCAACGATCCACGCAATTGGACTACGATGACATGCATCAACCAAGTCAGCAAGCCTGACCCCCAATCCCGTTAGCAGCCTCTTGCGACAAGCATAGTCGCCTTTTACGGCAAGAATGGGTTGCTTAAGGCCTAATTAATCTACCCCAGATCTTCACCGCTCGTCAGTTATTTCACAATATGTCAGATCAATGAGTATAGAATTCCAAAAGGGACGCAGGTTGTGGATGTTCACAGCTTTGATCAAGCCCATGGTCACAGGTGTGGACAGACCAAAAGGAACAGGGGAATTCGGGATTCAAACCCAAGTCGAGCAGCTTGGTCATAGCATTGACAAACGAACACAACTCTAAAAAGCAAGTTGCGCTCCAAACCACTAAACCAACCATGACCACAAGACAAGACCCATCTCTGCTAAGTCAATACTAACTTGTCCCTGAGACAGAGTCTTGATGAAAACATACACTGCACAGTAGAAGACAAGCATTTCAGTTTGCTATTAACACATACCTGGGTATTCAGGCTTGGAACATCACCAGCAACCAGCACTCCAGATATGTTTACAAGCATATGAGGACAGTACTGGTCATGATCAGAATTGATGAGTACCAGACATAGTTTTTGCCAAACTAATGTAAACATAACTCTGACAAAAGATTTCGAGTGGGTATTATTAGCCAATGACAACGCAGGATTGGAAGGAAATCCATTTGCTGCTGACACAAAATTACCTGTTCCTGTTGAAGTGGAAGGTAATGTCCAATACAGTAAACGAAAGTTTCATGATGTTTTGAAGAACACTTTTGAGAATAAAATAGACAAGATATGGTAACAATTAATCATGAGAGCTTTTACTATTGTTTGCCCACATATTTGATATGGTTGTAATTTTCAATCCGTCTGTATTTTACTAGTTATCATCAAGGCATCTCTCTGGATCACTGAGCAACTGTGGATAGTGGGAGGAAATTATTACTCAATCTTCCTTCTTCCCCCATGAAGCTTTTCCATCATCTCACAAATCACTGAACAAAAGTTCAAAATTGATTTCAAATTTTCAACCACACACCATTTTATCATACTCTTAGATCTTTTGGCATTTGAAAACTTTTGTGCATTAAGTGACAATCCTTGAGCCAACATTAACACACATCCCTGGCAATCCCTGTACTTGGGGATTAAATGTACCACAGACAGACATACTTACATCCACCTCCCCTTGATCAAGCACATAGAAGTTGTCGCCTTCGTCACCTGGTGAGAGAGAAGACACATATTTCATACACTTGGAAAAAGCTCAGTGGTATTATTTAAAGTAGTCTACAGGCCAGAGGATCACAAGAAATCTTGAAAGACAATTGTAAGACAAGTAAAGCTCCTCCCTCATGGAGAGATTATACATCAGATTGTTTCTTCACATTACTCTTGAGATTCAGTACTCTAGCTTAGTTTCCTTTGGCAAAACAAGGCAAAGACTTTTCTCAAATTGTAGAGGATAGGCCTTTTTCTTTAATGTTCAAAAGCGTGGTTTTCAATTTGCAACTTTTTTAAAAAATAGGATGAGCCTACACTACTTTTGTAGACATCAAAATATAGGAATACACATTTTTTTTTATAAAAGTATGCATATTTCAAACACCTTTTTTTGGAGAAATCATGTGTCTGTGTACATATGTGCCAATCTACAGGCATCTTAAAAATGGTATCATGAATTTCCTTCCTATCAATGAATTTTTTGGTTTGGTTTGTTGTTTTACGCCGCACTCAGCAATATTCCAGCTATATGACGGCGGTCTGTAAATAATCGAGTCTGGACCCGACAATCCAGTGATTTACATCATGAACATCGATCCACGCAATTGGGATCGATGACATGCATCAACCAAGTCAGCGAGCCTGACCACCCGATCACGTTAGTCGCCTTTTACAACAAGCATAGTCGCCTTTTACGGCAAGCAAAAAAATGAGTCAGTTTGGTTTAATGCTGCTTTAAACAGTTACATCATGGTGTTATGAAGTGGGAGATGAAGTGATGCAGACTGTAGGGATTCTCACTTGGAGGATATCAGGAGCATGCATGGGTATGGTGCTGACAAACCAAGAAAAACATTCAGACCATTTTCCCCTGACTTGCCATACCAGTAGTTCACTAAAAATCTGTCCATAGTTTCAGCTATTTGTCAGTAGCCATTTTTACCATCATGTGGGCAGGTCTACCTGACACATTGCAGTGAACCAGTGACTGACCCCTCTCTGAGGGAGTACCACCCTGCCAGAACTCATGTATCTCTGTGTAGACTCTTAGCTGACATCAACTGACCTAGGTCATAAGCATTTCATTTGTCCATTCCAAGCATCTGCTCGATATTTACAACCCCTAATACAATAGGTCAAACTACCATCATGCACACCTGGTTCAAAGAGGGCGGTGCCCATGGTAAAACAACCAAATGAATGATTTATACCAATTACATTTTTTATTTAGATAAAGTTTTGTATTTATTTGTGCATAGATAGGTATCTACTGTATTTCGTTCCAAATTAGAAGTAATATTCCTTCATCAGCTAAGAACTTGATATGGTATTCTCAAATTCCATAATTTCTTTACTTGGATTCCTACTCTGTTTTTTTTGTTTTTTGAAATCTGTAGGAACTACGGAGTAATCGTAGGAGTAACAGGTCTGCATAATCAGGACGTGACCAATGACCACAGGTTTCTACAATGCCAATAGGTCACACCTCTGCACACGTCTCCCAGCTACTAAGACAGTGCCAGTCCTGGTAATGAGAGGACAGTACCCACCTTGCTGGATAATCACCTCTCCTGCATGCCGATGGACTGGAAACATGGCGTCAAAAATATCACTGAAAAGAAAAACATGATTGCCTTTGAATATTATCAACTTGACTGGATAACATCAGACATCATATTGTCAACGACACCTCCAATTCTGATTGCTGTTCCTTCTTTCTTGTCAACATGGCTCTTCCTTGACCGAACATTGTCCTATAGAACTGGATGCTGATAACACTCACACAGCACATGTTCTAACTTAAACACTTTAATGAATTTATAATATATATAACAAATTGGAGAAAGTATTATCATTATATATAAATATATTTATGTTTTAAGTTAAATTAGATGTACTACTCAAAACAAGTAAAAGAACACCCAATTCTTTCACACTATAGCTAATATGCCATGGCATGATAGATTACAAGTAGTAATATGAAAGATCTGTGTTCGTTAACTTCTTTTTAGCAGTATATAAGGCCTGTTAGGCATGACAGGACATGAGAGTTCTGTTGAGTGAGTGAGTTTGGTTTTACGCCGCTTTTAGCAATATTCCAGCAATATCATGGCGGGGGACACCAGAAATGGGCTTCACACATTGTACCCATGTCGGGATTCGAACCCGGGTCTTCGGCGTGACGAGTGAATGCTTTAACCACAAGGCTACCCGACCGCCCCAGTTCTGTTGAGCAAATGTAGGGATTGTGTATGCACTGGTGACGTGCTTCATTCCGATTTGCTTTATAGATGGGGTATATAAATTAGCATCGATTTTGAAGGCTTGTACAGGAGTGTTGCCTTATATGTGGGGTCACAAAACAGACGGCGATATACGGTATTAATTTCTATTTTGAGGGCAGTGCCAAACCTACAATATCCGACCAAGACATCACACTACTGACATAATGGACACTCTCAGTCGAGCTCTTCTTGACCACCATATAAGGACTGAATCTTTCTTTCAATCTTCACAATAACTATCTTGTAATTCTTGTAAAGTCCTTAGTTGAAAAGGTGAGGTTTAACGTCGCGTTCCATATTATTGCACTTAGATAGCGACTTGGTTAACTGTAGTGAAGTTCTAATTCAAATAAAAAGGTAAAATTTGTGTTCAGCAAAAACTGGATATTAAATGTTAACATTGGTTACCATTGCATTATATTTATTTATGTAGAGTTTCTATAAATCTGAAAACTAGTACAAAACAGTGTTTGTCATATAAAATGTCCGGAATGCTCTGACATTTTGTGTGTGAAACATGGTTGGTGCCCCAAATGTGCTTCAGTTGAACTACCGGGCTAGATGGACAGTAGACGTAATTACATCAGACATGCAGGAAAGCCTGCTATTTTCCCCTGGCCAACAACATGGCGGTTTAGTGTGCTGGTCAGTGTGCCAGGGAAATCCAGATATAGGACAGACAGTAATAGCTGCCTTCAGACTGTTCCGGTATTAATAAGGATAATTGTAACACAATTTGGGAAAAGAAACATTAATCTTTATAAAAATATAGTTGTTGATGTGAGTACACATATTTTTTCGAGTCAAGCTTGAAGCTCAGTCAAAAAGAACACTGTGACATCCATAAACCTCTGAGCTGAGATAACAGTTTTTTAAGGAAACCAAAATTATAAGCCCTTGGTTATCTTCAATGTTAAAAACAGTATTTAGTTTGGATGGTATATGATACTGTCTCTGCATCAGGGCAAAATATAATTAGTCTCTCTCTTCTATGATCTTATCTCAAACATAGCCTGGAGACAAACATCATAGATAAATGTTCGCCAAAGTTTACGATGACTGCTGAACAAATGGAGTATCTCTCATGGATTATCTATCCTAACAACCCTGTCTCCAAAATAACCAGCCAAGATTTCATGCAGTTCTCAAATTGGAGCAGCAAACCAATAGAACAAAATAACTGCTATTTTGGTGAGTGTTAATGCAGACCATCTGGATCTAATGATTTCAAAGAGCACATGTTATGAAGATCACCATGCATAGAAAAGAGCCATTTGCTGTACAAATCCTGCCATGGCAAATTCTACACCAATAATTGACAAGGAAACACCCAGGGCGGCATTCCATAGTCTGAAAGAATGTTTCGTATAGGTCTCAGATGAATAAAGACAACCATTTTGAGGATGTGTGGTAATGACACTACTCAGGCTGGGTTAGGAGCAAAAAGGTTCCGGATGCCCCTGGCATGAGCAGAATAGAGAACTTTCCAGTCATTATAACTATGGCCTTCATTATTGGGGTCACTTGAGGCTTCACAGCAGCCAGATCCTGCACCATGATCAAGACTAACATTCATAAAGGGCAACATGGAGGATGTCACAAGGACATCTTGGAGGAAAACCATACAGAACATGCATGGAGGACGACCATATAGACCAAGCATGGAGGACCACGATATACAACAAGCATGGAGAATGACCATATAAAACAAGCATGGAGGACAGCCATATAGAACAAGCATGGAGGACAACCATATAGAACAAGCATGGAAGACAGCCATATAGAACAAGCATGGAGGACAACCATATAGAACAAGCATGGAGGACAACCATATAGAACAAGCATGGAGGACAACCATATAGAACAAGCATGGAGGACAGCCATATAGAACAAGCATGGAGGACAACCATATAGAACAAGCATGGAGGATAACCATATAGAACAAGCATGGAGGATAACCATATAAAACAAGCATGGAGGACAGCCATATAGAACAAGCATGGAGGACAGCCATATAGAACAAGCATGGAGGACAGCCATATAGAACAAGCATGGAGGACAACCATATAGAACAAGCATGGAGGACAACCATATAGAACAAGCATGGAGGACAGCCATATAGAACAAGCATGGAGGACGACATATAGAACAAGCATGGAGGACAACCATCAGACCAAGTATGGAGGACAGCCATATAGAACAAGAATGGCGTACGACATATAGAACAAGCATAGAGGACAACAATACAGAACAAGCATGGAGGACAACCATATAGAACAAGCATGGAGGACAACCATATAGAACAAGCATGGAGGACAGCCATATAGAACAAGCATGGAGGACGACATATAGAACAAGCATGGAGGACAACCATATAGAACAAGCATGGAGGACAGCCATATAGAACAAGCATGGAGGACAACCATATAGAACAAGCATGGAGGACAACCATATAGAACAAGCATGGAGGATAACCATATAAAACAAGCATGGAGGACAGCCATATAGAACAAGCATGGAGGACAGCCATATAGAACAAGCATGGAGGACAGCCATATAGAACAAGCATGGAGGACAACCATATAGAACAAGCATGGAGGACAACCATATAGAACAAGCATGGAGGACAGCCATATAGAACAAGCATGGAGGACGACATATAGAACAAGCATGGAGGACAACCATACAGAACAAGCATGGAGGACAGCCATATAGAACAAGCATGGAGGACAACCATATAGAACAAGCATGGAGGACGACATATAGAACAAGCATGGAGGACAACCATATAGAACAAGCATGGAGGACAACCATATAGAACAAGCATGGAGGACGACATATAGAACAAGCATGGAGGACAACCATATAGAACAAGCATGGAGGACATCCATATAGAACAAGCATGGAGGACGACATATAGAACAAGCATGGAGGACAACTATATAGAACAAGCATGGAGGACAACCATATAGAACAAGCATGGAGGACGACATATAGAACAAGCATGGAGGACAACCGTATAGAACAAGCATGGAGGACGACATATAGAACACTATAGAATCATGGAGAACAATCATGACAGACAATTAACAGTAGAGATTTAAAGAGTTAATGAAGGACAACTCGAAGACAACCAGTGAAGGTAAAGAAAACATGAGGACAACAGTTACAGAGGAGAAACTTAAAGGACAGCATTTACGACAAGCTTGATGAACCTCCTAAGAGATCAACCACTGAAGGGTCAATAATTGCATGATGTGACGAGAAGCCATACAGCAAGCAGTTACTCAAATCGATGGACCGTTATACAGTAGCTTACTTCTCTTGCATCATTTTCAATGACACAAAGTATCCATGATCTCTAAACGCAGTTTTAAGTATCTGGATACAACCATTATATCCCATTTATGTGTCTGGGGGACAGAAACGTGGTTGTTAGAAAGAAATTAAACTAAACTAAGATTACAAAAATGTTCCTTGTATGTGTCTCTATGTCTGATAGTTCCACATATTAAAGGTCCCCATTTGTCTGAGAAAGAATACATTATGGATAAAAGGTATTGGATAATACAGTATAACAGCCAACAATACACATAGGCATGTAATCAGACTGTATGCTATAATCACATTATACTCCATCTTTGTGTCACAGTGTTGCATCAATGAGAACACTTGCAAACACTGCAGAACCAGAATACAGAGCATGGAACAAAGAAATCCATTCAGGGCTTTGATCACCAATACATCACATGCTTGCATGCAATCAGTTTGACTTTAACAATCCCCAGAAGTAAACAGTCACTGCTGTGCTGTGTGTAGGAATCGTTTGTGACTAAAGCGTTCCTTTGTCACACACATAAACAGGGCCCCTTCCCCACTACAATGTCCCATCGACATTCACAAAAGATTGTTTGATGTAAATGTTTAACTAAATGCCTATCACAGTTCAAAATACATTTTGTGATTTTATTACATTTTTCTAATAACTTCATATCAGAAGACAAAATTATAAAACCTCCATCAAACTGGCATGGTTCCTTATTGGCTTCTCAGTCTTGTACAGGAGTGGCCTTGTGGCCTCAGATTAATCCCTGGGCTGCACACAAGGTAAAAAGGGGTCTAGACAATGTCATGTCAACTAAAGGCTCTCATGTGTTACACACTAAAACAAAATTACTTCAGGATTGGCCATGATATTAAAAACTTGCCCGTAGGATGACAAGAAGCAGACTGGAATGTGTAGTCATCATCAAAACCATTATTCAAGCCATCATCAGCCAAGCCAACCAAACAGATCATCTCAATGATATCATTTTGTCCTAAACCC